TTGAAAAAACTCTGTACATAGGGTGTAAAAATTATTTCTTTATACTGTTTCTGCAGAAAACGTAAAAACAAAGGTCCTCACGTATTCTAGCCGATTAAGGGGGCAAACGATATTGGATCAAGATACACCATTGGAAAGATAATTCTGCAAAGAACACATAGGAGGTTGCATGTCAGGTTTTGGAGATCACAGAAATTAGAAAAATTAATCTCTTTTGCTGCTGAAACACTAAAAACGCAGAACAAGGAAAGGTCTCACCATTTTCACTATAACTTGTGATTTTGATGTCCGTTTTGAGTGAAACCAGTTGCATTTGAAAGGAAATTCCATGGGGATCATAAAGGAATGATTGCATGCAAGGTTAAGATGCCAGAAAAATAAAAATCAGTCTCCCTTGTTGCTGTAACACAGAAAACGCAGAAAAAGGAGGGGCTTTACCGTTTTCCTTGTAACTCAATGATTTGATGTCTGTTTTGGGTGAAACAAGTTGAGTTGGAAAGATTTTTCACTGCAAAATACAAATATGCAGAGGTTAGGCTCAACAAAATATGTTCAGATGGTAAAAATTGACTCACACAATGGTTGGACGCAGAAACCTTCATGCTTTTTCATGGAGGAGGTGTCATGGAGAAGAAAGTGTCCAAGGTTTTGGCTGTGGATGATGGTGATTTCCAACACAAAGTTGCTGCAAAATGAAGAGGAAAGTTGAGAGAGATGAAAGAAACCGAGAGTGAGAAAGAGAGAGAGAGCTTATGGGAGGAAGAAGAGAAACAAAAGAACTTGGAATGACATTTTGTGCCACCTATATCATGCATAACATAATTTTGCCACCTACATGTTATGCATGTTCGTAAATTGCCACCTATGTTTTGCATGCAAGGGCATCATGGACCTTTCACACACTAAAAATCTGAAATCAAATTTAAACTTGGTAGCAGTTGAACCTAAATCCTTTAAGTCCAAGAGAAAGGAGTAGCCTATCCACCACTACACCACCTTTGTTGGTGTGTTAGAAATTTGGAAATTAATTACACTTAAGAGATTGTAAATAATTCAAAGTATTAGAAAATTTCATCTTTCAAAAATAAATCAAACATGTATTCAAAGACGAATTATTTTAACGAAAAAAAAATAAGCACTTTTATCTCAACTTATTTAATCAACATCGTAAAATTTTACAAAATGTATTGAATTATCTTTGAAAAAGATTAAATCGTGCTAACATACATGAATATTGAGAGAGTAAAAATTAGGATATTACAGAGATCACTAAAATGAGGGTGGCTTTGGTGAAGCTCTGACGACATTTTGCTATTTTCAATTTTTTTGCATGATTTTTTACTATTTATACATTTTGAGTTTGATTTTATTGTATGAAACTTACATTCATGGTGTGAATGTACTTGAATATGTATGAAAAATTCATAAAATGCCTGAGAGAACTTACCATAGTTCTTGGACCTCTTTCTTGCTTTCTTTTACTTCCTCTTTTTTCTCTCTATGTTTAGAATGCTTTCTCTCAATATTTCTTATTTTCTTGAAAATAAAATTGATTCCTTTCTCCTTGGGTAAAGCAAAATTAAATTTAGATTTTAAAAATAAATATAAAAATTTTTGAAAAAAATTTAGTATTCACAAATACTAACGTTTAACCATATTCAAATAGCAGATTGTAGAAGTATTTTATTCATTCATTTAGTAACACCATTTTGTTGGGGTGTATTTTTGCTCTTGGTATAGCCACTTTTTTGCAGTAATCATCAAATCACACATTGGAAAACTCTAACACCTTATTTATTCTAAGAGTTTTGACTTGTTTACTAGCTTGCTTTTGAATCATACTATTCGATTCCTTGAACCACTCAAACACCTCATCCTTAGTCATCAAAAGTACACCCAAACCTTTCTAGAGTGGTCATTAATAAATTCTATAAAATGTCTACATCTTTCATGTGACTCCACTGAAGAAGAACCACATAAATTAGAATGAACATACTGTAAGATTTCTATAGAAGTGTATTTTGTAACACCCCGAATATTGTAATATTAATTATTGTTATTTATATAAATATAAATGTATATATATGTGTGTGTGTGTGTGTGTATAAGTATAAATGGATGTTGAAATTTTACATTGGATGCGTAATGATGTTGTTTTGTGTGTAATGAGTATGATTATATGTACATATATGTATGTTGTAGACGTGTGTGTGTATATATATATATATATATGTATGCATGATTGGATAGGGCTGAAATAGGCTAAGTGCAGGGTGTAATACTGGGTTGTTCTCGCTGTAGCGAAAGGGCCTTGGGAAGAAGGACCAAAACTGTCGCCTTCTCGCTGTAGCGAGAGACGTCTCGCTGTAGCGACCGAGCGACAGTTTGGGGTGCATTTCTGGGTGCAGTCTAACTGTAACGAGAGGGTATCGCTGTAGCAAGATTCTGCAAAAATCAGGGTGCAGTTTTGTCTGATATTTTCGCTACAGCGTGAGAACGTGTCGCTGTAGCGAGAATATCTCACTGTAGCGAGAGTGTTGCGGCCAGAAAAGAATTTAAAGGGGGTTAGGGTTCGGGGAGGATTATTTCTCCTTCTCCCTTCGAAATCCCTTGGATCCTCTCATACCCAAAGCACTATTCCACCAATTAATTGCCCTCAAAGCCGTTCGGGAGCTTGATTGAAAGTTGAATTCGTGTGGGGAACGCTTGGAGGCCGAAATTTGTGAAGGGAGCAAGTCCGTGGTCGAATCTGAGTGTGGGCCTTCAATCCAAGGTAAGGGGGGACTCTATCCTAATCTTTTGTGCATGAATTGTTGATATTTTGCTGAATATTGTGTTGTGGCTAAGTTAGTAGGTAGGAAATTGCTGAGAAATGTAATGTGGGCCACGTGCCATGATATGTGAACATTATGTGTGTTGATCCGAAATCGATGGATGTGGATTGTATGTAAATGTTGTGTGATAGAATGAGTATGGGCATTTCTGCCATATATTTGAATGAATATTGTGAAAATGTGTCCAAGGGCTGTGTAATATAAACGATAATTGTAGGCTGTGTGCCGTGTGTTGTGAAATGCAATGTGGGCTGTGTGTTGTGTGTAAGCATGATTGTGGTATGCGTGAATGAAATATATGTGTGAATGGGTGTATTAACGCCGTTGTAATGTGCTATGAATGGTTTAGCAATACATTGGGGGTGTGGAAGATGAGGACGGTAGAAATACCTTGGGGAAGAGGGAGTAGTGGTGACACCAACTGTGGAACGGGTGCACCACAAGTCACACACTCTCTTCCTGACTAGACCTCTGACCACTACCTTTGTTGAGCGACCCGTGACTGCCCACGTGGTATCCGTGAGGCGGGGGTAACTGGTGACCATTCATGTTATAAATCTGTGATCACAGTACTATAGTGAGTGTGGCTGATATGCGTATGCATGGGTTTGTATATTGTACTTATGGATGTGAAATGTTGCCGATGTCGTGAATGTATCGGTGTTGAATTGACATGAGTTGTGTGACTATGCTGCCTGTGATTGTGTTTATTTAATGTAGTGAAAATGTGCTGGAGGTGAGATTTTATGCTGACTGTGTGTTTTTGGGTAGCGTAGAGTACTCACCCTTACATTCATTTTTCAGTTAATCAAGACGATCAGCACCAGATTCAGTGAAGGGGTGGATGGAACTGCTATAGGACTTAGAATATTATTTTAAAAACTGTTGTATTTGAATAAGTCCTGTAGCAGCTGTTTAATGAAATTGTAACCCCCTTTCTTTATTTTGAAATGTTTGACGAAACTTGGATTAAAAATAGAAGTTTTATTATTTCAAAATTTTTTAAAAATTCCTTATTTACTGAAATTAAATTTAAGGTGTTACATATTTGTCATTATTTAACTTAAGCCTTCATTGCTTGTGCATAACACACGACTTAAAGAACTTCAATTTTCCAGTCACTGCTCCATCTAACAATCCTTGTTTGCTCAACACTATCAGTCCCTTTTCACTCATATGCCCTAATCTACAATGTCACAATTATGTATTATTAGTATGTTACACTAAGGAATAAGATATTGACATTGTTCCTTCAACAAAATTTCTCAACATAATATATATATATATATATATATATATATCATGTTACTATCTTCCTTTCATCATAACCAAAGTATGTTTAGAAATCACAATTTGTCCATCCTTTCCCAAAAAATTGTACCTCTATTTATCGGTACCAACAAAAATTAAGTTCTTTTACAAATCAAAAACCTACCAAGCATTGAACATTCTGATAATGTCATTATACATCCTTATTTGCATCAAGCCACTCCCTTTCACACTAAGCTCTTTATTGTCTCCTAACTTCACATTGTCATTCCACTCTTTAAATAAGTGAACAATATTTTCTTAAAAGTCATATGATAAGAAGCATTGATGTTCATATTGAACGTCAAAACATCTCTACCGTCCTTTTCATCCAAATTATCTACAAAAGTAGTTGCATTAGTTTGTGTGACAGTTGCATTGACTTTAACTTTGTTGTCTTTACTTTTCCACTGTAACTAGTTATTATTTTTTTATTTATAGTAAAAATATTTTACCATTTTTCACACAATTTAGAGCATGAATGACTCTTACTACTATTTTCTATTTCTATGCTCCTACCTCTACTAACTATAAGACTAATAACATTTATAATATAACAATAGACCCACTTCTTCAATTCCTTAGATTGCATACTGTGTGTTTTATGTCATTAACATTGATACTATTTTTTTCGTACAACATAGAATCAATTAAATGTTCAAATGATTTCAACAGAGAACATAACATAATAATATTTTGGTCTTCATCATCAATTTTAACCTTGACACGCTAAAAATAAAGGATAATTTAGTTAAAATTGACAAGATGATATCTCAATGACATATTCTCAAACATCCAAGGCATATAAACATTGCTTCTGATATAACCGATTAGTTAAAGATTTCTTTTGAAATCTACCTTCAAGCTTATTCCATATTCCCATAGTTGACTTTTTCTCAACCACTTCTTGTAGAACCTTGTCGGTTAAATTCAAATCAGTCATACTATACGTCTTTTTCTCTATCTTATTCTTCCCTTTATCTGTGAAAGTCACATGCAATTTTTCTTCACTGTTTAGCATCATTTCACAACCCTAATGCACTAGAACTATTTTTATCTTCAATTTCCATAGAACAAAATCATTTGATACATTCAATTTCTCAATATCAAATTTATAAGAAGACATTTTGATCACTGGAACTATTCCTTGAAGAAAAAGGCTCTTAATACCAATTGGTATGAAAAAAATAAAAAAAAAAAGAAAGGAAGAACAAGAACATGCAAAATTAACATGATACAATCAATGTGACTTATGTTTATGAGTAGATTGAGAAATTTTTATTCGTGGGCAAATTTATTTGTAGAAAAGTAATAAAAGTATTCTAAAATATAAGTTTCCAAAATATAGTCGCAGAAGGATTGTTACCAATTATTAATAATTTTTTTATTTAATTGTTTGAACTTAAAGGATGCAAAATTAAATAAAACAATTATTTAAATATAAAATTAATTAAAAGAAATTAAAATAATGCAGCTTTTAATAATAAACTAATCGAGAAGAGCTTAGGGCATATCATTTCACCTTTACACTTCACTATGTTCATTTTTAGGTTAAATACAATGCCAGTTTCTTCATGATTGTCAACCACTTGTAACACCCTCAATTTTGTTGCCCTTGTATGAAAGAGATAAGAATTTTAGTGCAGAATTTCTTGCTGTAGCAAGGAAGACCATCTAGAAATTAGGCTCTTGGAAGCCTTCTCATTGTAGTGAGGGAGTCTTGTTGCAGCGAGAAGTGGATAAAGTTGACCCAACTAATACTCTCGCTGAAGCGAGGAGATTCTCGCTGTAACACCTAATTTTCACTAAGGTTCTTACATCATTATCATCAAGTCACAATAACAATCTCAACAAGACATACGCGAACATATATGTATACATGTAATCACACCTATAAAAATCATAACATATCCATTTGACGTCCTCGAATGATATCATAGAGGAATCATTCTGAAATTTTCCATGTCTCATCATCATAGGTTGGCACATTTCAGGGTCAAACACAAATTTTCCTCTTGATCATTTCAACATTATCCATATCAATCAACCAATAAACTCAATCAAGTTGTGGAAATAAATAATCATAACCAACCTAAAAATTGGAGGAATAATAATTCAACATATGGTTCTTTTCAATCTCTCCACAGTATCATCATGTACTTAACTTTTTATGTTATCTCAACGAGGGCTCATGACAGCTACTTCTCATTTTAAACATCTGAAACATAACATCATATCAAACAACAAAATAAGCATATTAATATCACAAGACTTTAAAATTGAATTTGAGAAGTATGAGCGTATAATTATATAAAAGGAAAATGAGTAAATCATCCAAACCAAACTGTCCAAAAGTAAGTGCAACAACAGAATAACCCCTAAAAAGTATAGTGTTCCAAAATAAACAAAACTAAAGTCCTATGAGCAGTGTCAACCCATGACTATATAAACTAATCTATACATAAAATTTCAAAGGAAGAGAATCTTTGTTAAGGTCGGATTCCATTCTATCATAATCAGGCTAGTCATGCATCGGTTAAGGGCGAGAAGAAGTGGTAAGTCATCAGGATCACTGTCAATCCATCTGATGGTGGGTGGCAGTGAACAAGAAACAAGTGGAGGTGGTGGTGAAGGGTGTCATGTAGAAGGTCCAACCTCATCAGAAGAAGGTGTAGGAACTCTCAAGGAACCACGGGGTATCGGTCGAATGGAAGACTCAACAACTCCAATGTCCTTCCACTCAGGTTCAGAAGTAGAGTCAGGGCAGGAAGTAGGTGGAGGTTCAAAACTCATAGGGCCTTGCCTTTGTCAAGGGTCTTAGAAGACTCATGGGGTAATGTTTGGTTTGGTGAAGGCAGAGAAGGTGGATGGATAATAATACTTCTCTCAGATGGTAGGAGTACGAAGATATCAGTAATAAGGCAATCGCTTAAGTAAGGTTTCTAGTCATTCGTAGCGATGGGTCCTAAATTCAGAGTGATCATTCCTTGGTATGCAAGGCAGCGTATCGCTGGATCACATGTCCATGCCTCTTTCCCTTAGACATCTTCTCCCCGTATCATCGCCCATTGTGGATCCATCTGCCACACAGTCATGCAAAATACACAAGAGAATACAACACAAAGGGAAACACAACAGAAAGGGTGAGTCCAACATGATAATTTACCAACAGTCATATACAACAAAAATTAGCACAAGATAAGAGTTACAAAGAAACATTCATTCCAAGATTTCACATCAAAACATCATACAATTAGATTAAAATTAGCGGTAAGGTCAAGAAAAATCATCAAATGAAATGTATGCCACTCACGAAATCTCTACTCTCCCAGATTTCCAACGTTCCTCCCGTCAAGGTGATCAGAGACCTTATTCCCTACAAGCACACAATTATATATATACAAGGATATCCATCCTTTCAATTTATCTTTATTCCTCAGGAATGAGTTCTAACATGATCCTCAAAAATGGTTGCTCGCGTCAGGATTAATGAAGGTTTGCTGGTGACGTGTCCCAGCCACGGTGAGCTATTTCGTGCCATTAGGGTAACCCCCCTTACGACTCCTAAGGTTCTTCCCTTGAACCTGGACACTCCATGATCAATTGGAATTTTTACAACCTTATTTCCTCTCATTCCTAACTCATTAATCCTCTTTTGTGCCTAATTGGTTTGAATTGGATCATTTTATGATGTTTGAATTTTATTTGGGCTTTATTTAATTTTTCCAGCATTAGGAAAATTCTGATACTATTTTGATTTCTGGGCCATATCTTGAGTTGTAGAGCTCATTTCATTATGATTCTTGATTTTTAGGAAAGTTAAGAGAAAGGCACACAATTCCTACAAGAGGTTAGAAACCAATTCTGATGATAAGATGTTGAAATTGGGCCTGGAAAAAGTCAGAAATAGGCACTTGTGGTTTCTGACCTTGGTGTAGTATTTGGGCTATATCTCAATCCACAGATGTCCGTTTAAGACCATTCTAGTTGCGTTTTGAAGCTAACATCCAGGGCTACAATTTCTCTTTATATCAGAAATCAAAACTGATAGATATTCATAGCCAAAAATACCACACAATATCTTCTTGGATTCAGCATGGATACTGGGCAGCAATTACAAGCATAACTTTCCCTCCAAAATTCAAACTTGAACAAATAAGGATCCAGAGACAGCTATTTAGTAGAGGATTAATGTAATTGAATAATTATTAATTAGTTTTTACGTTTTGACCCTTAAAAAGGTCTGTATTTAATTTAGGGCAACAAGTTGAAAAAGGGTTGGTTGTTTTTCGGGAGGAATAATACAAGTTTTAGGGTTTTTGTCTCCTCTTCTTTGCCTCTTCTCTTCTCTCATGTTTTTACCTTTTGTTTTCCTCCATCAATGGAGGCTTGGACTTTCATCTAATCCAAGGATTGAAAAAGGGCTGAGACATTCTTGAGGATCAGTTTCATAATTCATTCAACAACAAATCCGGTTTCATCTCTTCCTTCATTTTCCATTTGCTAATTAGATTTTCAAATTAAAGTTATTCATTTGGATTGATAATTGTGCAATTGTCTGATTATATATTATTAAGTTGATGTATGTAATTAATTTTTGAAGGAATGTGAATTAGATTTTCAGGTTTGAGATATAAGATTAATGGCATTGGTGAATTAAATTAACACAAATCAATTAGGTTTTAGAGGTTTCTGAACTTTGAGCAATTCTGTGTTAATCGAATGCATGAGGGTCTTCATGTGAATGCTTAATTTGAATTGAGGTTTCATTCGAATTTAATCTTAATCACTAATTTGTTGGCTAATGCAGCTTATTGAAATCCGGTGATAGAATGGTCATAGTTCTTCTAAATTCTTGGATTAGAGTTTTCAATTCTTGTTAATTTTTCATTCTAATCAGTGTTATCTTATAAATCAAACCCTATCCAAATTCATAATCGTATAACATTATCATCATTGGAAGAAGACTCGGATTACACCTCTTACTACATAATTTTTATGCAATTTGGTTTTTAATAATTTGTCCGAGCGCGACACTCGTGATCACTCCACATTCCCCAACTGTGCCAAACTGTGACCTTAACTCTCCTTTTCACTTCCATGCATATGAACAACTACATGACAACATCTGCACTTGATATTTATTGTCATTCAACACTGTGTAACACCTTACTTTAATTTTCTAAAATAAATAATTTTTGTAAAATGAGATTAATAAGATTTCATTCAAATAATTTCCCAATGCACAAATTCATTTAAGTCTTTCAAAATAAGGATGAACTACAATTTATATCAAATCAATGCTACAAGAATGGTTTAAATACATCAAAAAAATTTCAGAATAATTTCTAAGTCCTATAGCATTTTCATCCATCCCTTTACTGAGCCTGATGCTGATCGTCTTGGTCACCTGGAAAATAAATGAGTACTATACACTATCACACACACACAAACAAGCATAGAGTCTCACCTTGCCCAATTCACACATTTTCTATCATGTTTTAAATCATTCATCAACAAGTACCAGCCATTAATTCAATCATTCATTCTCAATTAGAAACAGGTGTGCTTACTGCACCATCACACATTCACCATACAACACCCACGTGTGCTCACTGCACACTTGCCACGCTCACTGTGGCACTATGATCATAGACTCCTGATGCCCTCAACCTCAGGGACTTACTCAGTTCAAACCATGGATGATTGCCGGATAGCTCCTGCTCCACGGATACAACGTGTGTGGTATTGAGTCCCCCAAATAAAGGTGTTAGTCAGAGGGCGAGTCAGGAAGAGAGTGTGTGACCTGTGGTGCACCCACGCTCACTGTTGGTGTCACTACCACCCTTTCTTCCCCAAGGTATTTCAACTGCCCCCATCTTCCACACCTCTAGTGTATCGTTGTACCATTCATAGTTTTCAACATTTCATAATCACAATCAC